AATTTTAAATTTTAAGACAGGGTCTCACTATGTCATTCAGTTGCCTAGGCTGGGCTCAAACTTTTGACCCTTCTGCCTTGGCCTCCCAGAGTACTAGGATTACAAGTATGGAGCACCACACCTGCCTTGCTGTCTCTTCTATAGAGATTTGTGACTGGTCATGGTAGAAATGGGGTTCTTCTCCAAGTGGTGTATTCATAGAAAAAAGTCCAAATGAATACACATCAACTTGGTAACAGTGATTACCTGAGGAACTACTGAGGGCCAGGATTGCCAATTGGGGAATAGGTAGCGGCCTCCAAAAGTTCACACTTTTATTTAGATTTCATAGTGAAAATGCATACTTCCACTTAAACCCAACTTCCCGAGAGCCAATCCCAAGAGATGAGGCCAGGAAAGTCTTGTCCTTTATGTGTCCCTGCATAGTTCCAAACCCAACTCTGACTAAAGCAGGCAGTATCATCAGAGGGCTGTGATCCAAAATGAGAGGAGTCTGAGACCCCCCTAATGCTCTTCCCTATAGCCTTCCCTTTCTTTCCCTCCCTCAACCCTTGCAACTGTACTAAACAGACTACCGTTCCATCAATGGATATGTGATTATGCTGAAGCATTATCACTACTTATAATCTTCCATAATATTTTTAAGCTAAAGGATTGAACCAGCTTGAAATGGAAGCTACCCAGACTGGGCCTGATACCAAATCCCTTGGGATCATGTTTTAGTTTTATTCTACAACTAAATTAGCCTTGTCTGTTTCTATTCTCCTCTGCCCCTGACAGACTGCTCAAGAGGGGGCAGCATACATTTGCTGAGCTCTTGTCTATAACATTATGTAGATCCTGAAATTTTCAGAGTTTCAATGTGAGAGAGACTTGAGTTGAACAATCACATTAGAAGGGGGTGGGACTTAAAGTTTAATTTGTATAGGAATTAAGATGAAAAATGTCATTAGGCAAGTCAAAAATGGGAAGGGCAAGAGGGTCACATACAACTAAAGCCTCCCTCTTCTCATCCTAGCTTTTTTTCCTGGATCCTTTTTGATACCATGAAAGATCCAGGAGACAAGGCACAAACAGAAGAGAAATTTACTTGATTCTTACAACTGCCTTGCATATGGTATTACTTTTCCTCACAAACATGGAGTATTTACACATTTTCTCCAAGAGTACCCCTAGATTGCTCAGTACCATATCCATAATTATCTCAAATGGCTACATAGGAAACATGACATTCTGCCAGTAAATTGGCTAAGAGAGTGCCCTAGAAACTATCTGCCTGAACATATAATCATTCAAAGTTGGACCCTAACTTTAGAGGGATCCAACCAGCTACCAAAGGCAGGTCTTTGTTATACACCCAGATTGTTTACGCAGGACTCCTAGTTTCTGGAAAAACCGTTCATTTAGCTTAAAATATGTAAGTAAATAAGAGCATTTCCTTATCCTAAAATTGGACAAATTAGAGGGCAGGATTGGAAATATTCTTCTCAAGCCACAGAGCTAAGAAATGAACCTGAAATCAAATCAATAAGGTAATTTTCCTGATTCAGATGGCAGAACTGAAAAGCAGGGTCAAGAAGGGAGAATAAAGGCACTTGGGTGTAGGTGACAAGCCCTCATTGTGCAGGTAGGTCCCTGGAGACCACGGACCTGCTTTATGCACATAGGAAGTGCCACATTAGTTCAGTTAGTTTTACAATTTGTTCATATATAAATTTTCTTCTGCAGATATATATATACACTTTTGTCCCTATGTTATAGATTGTTTTGTAAGAATCTTGCATTATTGGTAATCCTAATAAGTATACAAAAAAAGTCTAAACATCTAGTCCAGTTATGATGATGCATTTATAAAACAAAATTTTCCTTAGGATTTACTTTATGTAGCCTTATTCCTTAGAGCATGAAAAAATTCAATATATATATTACAGAAATCTGTGTAAATTTTATCACAAACTACAACTTCAGGAAAACTTATGTGTTATAAATGTAAAATACCGTAAGTAGAAGAAAGGAAGTCAAATTGATTTTTAGAATATATGTGTATGTCTATTATAAGCAAAAATTTTAATGATTTTTAAATCAAGGTAAAAGACGTACAAAACAAATTACCATTAATAAAAATATTTTAGGATAATCAATAATTAAATTTTGGACACAGAAACTGAAGGTATTAGGAAGTTATCCTTTATCTCTTGAACTCTGGTTTGAAAATCTATTCAGCTTTTTTTTTTTTTGGTACCGGGGATCAAACTTGGGTCCTTGCACTCGCACAGTAGGCAGCGAAACCACTGAGCTAAATCCCCAGCCCTATTCAGCTTTGTATTCAAAAATCCCTAATATAAAATCTGAATAATACTGAGGGTTCAAATCAGCAAGTTCCACAATTTAATCTTCATTTCACGGTTGGGAGCATGGCAAAAAGGGAGCAGAGAGAGCAGCCATGATTTGGTAGTGGTTACTCGTCTAGACGAAAGCATTTTAAAGCTCAGAAGCCCCAGGATCATCAAATGTTAAAATCACAGGAAAGCTTAGATGCTGGTGGTCTAGTCCTTTATCCTGTTGGTCAGGATGCATATATCCCATAAACTGATCATCCTGGAGGACACATGCTGGCTGCTTTTAATCCTTCTAATGTCAGAAGGCTGTGGTATGAGAAAAGCCAAATGCACGGTCAGCGGATGAGCTATCCCCTGTGCAAGTTCACATCTACTTCGTTTCTAGCTCATCATAGACAGCCACACTCTATGCTGAGCTTATTAGGACATGGTGGTGTCGCCTCAGTCCACATAGTGTTTCCTTTCCTTTAGTTGGAGGGAAATAAACGGTGCATTTGTTTTCCATGGGCTGACTGAGCTCAATCACATGAATCTTCTGTTTCAGATGTGTTTAAAATTGAGCTTCCTACTTTCTGACATTTCAGTGGCACTTCTATTTTTTTTTTTTTTTTTTTCTTTGATTCTGGTAACCATCTCTGGGCAATTATTTCTGCTTTGATTTTTTCTACACCCTCATTCATGGGCTTTGTTTTTTGAGCCAATTTTTATGACCAAAGAAAGTTCTTTTTATTACTTAACAGAGATAGTTTGTTTTTTTTTTTTTTGTACACTTCCTGAGACTCAGTGCCTGGCAAACTCTCAATCCCCTTTGCTACCCTCAGATTCCTGGCTCAATATAAAAGAAAAACTGACCATATTCAGAAGTCTCTCCCTGGAACTGACCTGAGTTTGTAAAAGGTGAGGCTTTAAGTAACCTGTATGAATACATTTTTCTCTCTCTTTTTTATTTTTGGTACCGGTGATCAAACTCGGGTCCTTGTGCTTGCGCAGCAGGCAGCGAAACCACTGAACTAAATCCCCAGCCGTTTTTCAGAAAGGGTCTCACTGTGTAGTTCAGAATGGCCTTGAACTATGTAGCCCAGGCTGGCCTCAAACTCACAAGGATCCTCCTGCCTCAGCCTCCCAAGGGTTGAAATTACAGGCATGCACCAGCACACCTGGCTCCATCTCATTTTTGTACAACTTCCTTACCACAGGAAAAACATCATATTTATCTTTTAAGGTGACTCAAAAGCTTCCAGAACTAGATCTCCAAAATTTATAGCATGTGTCCTCCAATGAAATGCCAAAACATATTCTCTTTAAAAGTAAAAATAGCAGGTTTATCTGGTCATTGATAAGAATGAGTTTGAGGTGGGCATGGTGGCGCACACCTGTGATCCCAGCAGAGGCTGAGGCAGGAAGATGGCTGAGTTCCAGGCCAGCCTGGGCCACATAGTTCAAGGCCAGCCTGAACTGCAGCGAGATCCTGTGTCGAAAAACAAAACAAAACAAAAATAAACAGAAGAATGAGCTTGAGCTAAATATTCTAACATTTGGTGTTTTCAAGCAGAAAAAGCAAGTCTTAAGAGTTAAGTATGTAATTCCATTTAAAATAAACATATCTGCTTGTAAAAAGGCGAAGGTCTGGAATGATGTACACAGTGACTAAGGAGAGTGACTGTAGTGTGTAGAGTGGATGAAGAAGGGGATTATACTTTTCCTTCATTTCTGGATTTAGATTTTTTTCTTAAATTCTTAAAAATAAATTAGAAGACATCACACACATTCACAAAGAACGCGTACTGATCTTGACAGCTAAAGTCCAGAAATTGCTACATTCTCATTTTGACTGGTTCCACAGACAGTTCAATTCCTTCACCAGACATTCCTTGGGTATTAGGTTCTGTACCGGGCAAGGAGGCCACCAAGATGGGTAACACTTCACCTATGACAGGATGGAAGCTACCCCAGAATACAGGTAAGAGGAACAGTGAATTTGGTAAATGGGACACTGCCACCCATTAGGGAATCAGCAGTTTCTCCCCGCTCTTGGCAGTGCAACTAGCAGGTGTCTTCCTTCTAAACATTAACTACTGCCAAGCAAGAGTGTCCTTGGGGAAAAGAGAAGTCTCCTGAACACGCCCACTGGGGTACCCAGAATAGCTTCGCAGGGGCACGTATATCCTGTCTTCTCTGGTCTCTGCTGAGTAATGTGAATTCTAGGGCAGCAAAGGGGCTAGCTAGTGACTTTGAATCAAGTTTTACCTGTTAACTGAATCCAGGGAAATCATTTGCAAAAGTGGTACACTATGCAAAGTGCTATGTTCAAAGACTGTGCTTTTTCTTTTTTGTTCTTTTCCGCCCAACTTCACGTTTCCATGCACAAAATGCTGATGCTATAAATATTGGATGCCACGCTTACCTGACAGGTTTCTTCCATACTAGTCGGGCGCGGGAGCTCGGAGCGAGCGCGCGAGCCGCGGCGGGAGCCTGCCTCTTGCAGCCGGAGCGAGCTCGCCCGGCTGCGGGTTCCGCGGCTGGCCTCGGGGTCGGAACCGCTCCGCGGCGCGGCTCCCGCAGTCAGTCCCCCACACGCACGCGCGCTCCTCTCGGCAGCTCGAGCGCCTCAGGTCTTGGGCGGGGACGCTACCGAACCGCTCCGGAGGGCGGGGCGGCGAGGAGCTCTCGCAGGCACGTGATTAGCACCAATATGGCGGCGCCCAGAGGCGTCCACCTGCTTGTCCGCAGAGGTAAGCGCGGGAGCCCAGTCCCACTAGGGCTAGCACTGTCGCCCACTCGCTGCACCCCGGGTTAAGGGATACATACCAGCGCTCAGAGTTCTCGGCGCACAGGAATGTGCTTTCAGTCCTCCGGACCCAGGCAGGCACTCAGGTGGACACATTCAGGAACACACACATTTGTTCACTCCTCTCGCGCCTGGGCCACGTCACTGCGTCGTTACTTTTAGAGATTTATGAGCCATTGACCCAAGTTTTCTTCTCCCACTTAAGTTGTGTAATTAGTGTTACAAACACTTATTCTGGATACCGGGCAGTGAAAGCTGTGATATCTCTGAAACGATCCTAGATACTCAGTTACTTTCTCTACAGCTATTCTGATGTTGACATTCTTTTGAGGAACTTGCAAATGAATGATTTAAGAGATTATTCTTTTCTGATGATTTAAGAGAACAAATGATGTCAGAGTAGTTCAAATAGATGCTACCCTGAGTGTTGAGATTTTAGTTAAATGTATAAGTACTTTTGCAGCTGAATTAGGGAATCTGTTGGATTTGAGTTACCTTCTGAATCTTTGTTGGAAAGAACTTGGAAATTGTTCCGTAGATGAGGAAAGAAAAGTAAATAATGTATGTGGAGGGGGGCTACTTAAGTGTCAGGCACATGAGACATAGGAACAGTCTTTTGAGGTATTTTACTAGTGATAGCTACCATTTATTAAGTGTTTCTAGTGCATTGATATTGTGTTAAGCGCCTTGGATGCACTAGCTGCTGCCTTTTAAAAATCAAACGAGAGGGCCGGGGATTTAGCTCAGTGGTTCCGCCGCCTGCCTTGCAAGCTCAAGGACCCGAGTTCGATCCCCGGTTCCAAAAAAAAAAGAATCAAAAGAGTGGGCCAGGGGTTTAGCTCTGGTTTCGCCACCTGCGGCCCAAGCGCGAGGACCCAAGTTTAATCCCCGGTACCAACAAAACAAAAAAATCAAACAAGTTAGGAATTCTTCCCTTTGGAGACCGGAGAAGTGAAGCTAGAAAAGTTAACAAATATGACTAAAGTCCCATAGATGGAAAGGGGCAGAATGTACATTTGATCATGAACCTTTTTGAGGGTCAAGGGGTATCTGGGATTGAACCCAGTGCCTTCACACTGAGTTACTTCCCCAACCCTTTATTATGTGTATATTTATTTTTATTTTGAGACATGATCTCACTAAATTGCCCAAGTTGGGCTCAAACTTGCCACCCTCCTGCCACAGCCTCCCAAAGTGCTGGGATTACAGGTGTGGACCACAATGGTAGGCTCTTTTCTTTTTTAATGTTCATTCCAGTGTACTGCATGGCATAGACTTTCCATAGAAATCTGTGCAAAGTGCAAGTGAGATAGGTCAGATATGAATGTGTGCAAGAAGACAAAGGTAGTTTTAGAAAGGAACAAGGTTGATAGATGGATAGACCTCAGTATTTCAGTGTTAGTGGATGAGTAGGGAACAACAGGAAGATTTAGTGAGAACTGTGTAAGAGGAAGGTGATGTAGGAATCATTTGGACTAATTACTTGGAAGAATGGAAGTCAGCATGAGATTTGTAACCTGGTGAAAAGAGAGCCAAATTACATCTCTTAAGATCTAGGCTGCAGTCCAAACTCTATTTACTAATTAAGTTACTTTTTCTCTTTCCTTTTTTGACAAGAAACAAAATCATTAGACTTTGTTTTTGTGCACTCCAAGTAATAATGCAGAGGATCCTAGGAGAATTAAGGTAAAGAACCCCCCCCCCAAATCATATATATGAGGATATACACGTGTGTGTGTGTGTGTGTGTGTGTGTGTGTGTGTAGTTTTTAAACATATATATACATTATATATCAGCGGTCTTCAACCTTTTTGGCACAAGGAACTGGTTTCGTGGAATTTGGTCTTGGGATGATTCAAGCTCATTACATTTATTATGTGCTTTATTTGTTATTATTACATTGTAATAGATAATGAAATAATTATACAACTCACCATAATGCAGAATCATTGAGAACCCTGAGATGTTTTCCTGCACCTAGAGAGTCTCATCTGGAAGTGATGGGAGATAGTGGCACCTGAAGTATGCTGCTTATGTCCAATCTACTCTGTAATCTTGTTTTGGTTGCCGTCACTGCAGAAAACCCTACTTTACAAAGGTAGCATGTTGGAAACAGAAGCAGGCTTTTCAGTGCTTTATGGCAGTCTCAGGATATTCTGTCTTGACTTTAATCCAGAAACTATGGAGATTTGAAGTTGTCTCAAACGTATTTTTAAGCCCATTATTATTTGCAGTCTCAAGCAGTTGATCCTCAAGTATGGACAAAATTGATTCAACTGGCTTATTCACAGATGGGTTGTAGATCCATTTCTTTCCAGTTCAGGAATCTTTTGTGGTTGGAAAGTAATACTCAAACTCCTTTGAAAGCTGAGATAGGTGATCACATGCTTCCTGCGACAAGACTTTGGCTCATTCTCTTTCAAAATCTTTACTGATGTTTGAAACATGTTAAAAAAAATCTAAATATTCATTTGTTGCCCTTATAATTCCAATTTGGCTTTGAATACAGGAACTTTGTCTGCTGATTTGAACACAGTTGTCATTTTCCCTTGAAGTGACAGATTGAGTTCACTGAGCAGATTAAATATGTCACATGAGTGGGGATTTAGCTCAGTGTGGTTCCACCGCCTGCCTCACAAGCACAAGGTCCTGAGTTCGATCCGCAGTACCAAAAACCAAAACAAAACAAAACAAAAATCTCTGGAGTGGCTCTCTTATCTCAAAAACTGGCTAGCAGTTTACCTTTAGAAAAACATCTCACTTCTGCATCTGTCTTCTCACAGAGCTGTGTAAACAGACTTAAGAGCAGGTCTTTTAAAGTAGTTCATAGTTTTAATCACATCGTGCAAAATGTTTTTAAGTTCAGGTAATGTTTTTCAGCTAGCCAGCATTTCTTTGTGGATGATAATTCAGAAATGACCTCTTTGACCCGAGTAATGAACCCAGAAAGCCATTCAGCCATGGCAGCTGCTCCATCCATACACATACTAACACAAAATGACCAATTTTCCTGATATGTACCCATTCAGACTTGAATAGTTCTGCAGCTGTGGTGTTGGTTGTCAACAAAAGTACATGTAATATATCTTCATGTTTATCCTCCTGAAAAATAATAACAAACTTTGTTGTCAACATTGGTACACTTGTCAACCTGGATTGTGTACCATAGTAACTCATTAATCCCCTCTGACAATTATGCCTCAACATCCTCTGCTATTTCATCAATTTGTGTAGTTATGATGCTAGCCAAAAGAGAAATGCATGCTAGTATATCCTCTCTAAAGTTTACAACAAATGTCCTTAACAACAGTCAGGATCAACCCTTCACCAGTCGTAAAGAGCTTCTTAGCTTTAGCAATGTGGTTAGCCACTAAGAATGATGCTTAAGAATGATGAAGTAGTGACCTTCGATAATTGCTTCTGTTCTTCATGTTCTTTTTTTTTTTTCTTTTGAAAAACTCTAAAAGCCTTATCTTTTCATGCAGAGTGCTTGGTCTTCACGTGGTGAAGCAGTTTTGAAGGGTTCATGGCTTTGTTGGCTAGCTGGTTGACACATATTATACAAAATGGGGTTGGAGAATGTAAATCATCTGTTGTAATGAACCTGTAATTTAAGTAGGACTCTTGCTGTTTTCTTTTAAATGCAGCTTTCTTTTTGTTGGCAGTCTTAGTCTTGCTGTCTCACCATTGGGTCTTTTCAAAGAGGCTCTCCAGTGACATTTGATTTTTACTCATTTTGACTAGGGATAATTTCTGGGTGTACCAAAACTGTGATTGAGACAAGTACAAAGTTTGGGAAAGAGGTGCAGATGGAAGTGGTAAATAAATTAATAGGTGTACTACACACAGACTAAAGTATCTGTCAGATTCTCATTTAAAGCAGATGCATCTGTACAAATGAACTGTAACTCACTTGCCACTATAAAAGCCTGCCACCAGATACAGCTTAATTGTCACTTGCGACTCACTGACAGGGTTTTGATATGAGTCTGTGAGCAGTTTTTATGTTCTCTGTGCAGTCAAACTTCTCTGCTAAAGCTAACCTGTATTTGCAGCTGCTTCCCAGTGCTACCATCACTGCTTCAGCTCCACCTCAGATCATCAGACATCATTAGATTCTCATAAGGAGCATGCACCATAGATCCCTCATATGTGCAGTGCACAGTAGGGTTCATGCTCATTAGAGCATCTAGTGCTGGAGCTGATCTGACAGGAGGTGGAGCTCAAGTGAAATGCAAGTGATGAGGAGTGGCTGTAAATACAGATGAAGTTTCTCTTGCTTGGCTGCTGCTTACCTCCTCCTGTGTGGCCTGGTTCTTAACAAGCCATGGATCATACTGGTTTATGGCCCGAGGGTTGGTGACTCCTGTTATATGTAATATCTTTGCATATTACACAATAACATATTCATATTTTTCTTCCTTCCCTGTCATTCAAGATTTTGACAAATAGCAATTTAGACAATCTAGGGAAGCCAGGCCACGTTATTGATACCTATAACCCATCCCATTGTATCCCACAGTGCTGCAACAGCCATGAGGGGGATCTTCTCATTAAAGAAAGGAGAGATTTTAGTGTCAAGGATAAGTCCCCTTTCTGGACTATTCATAGCTGGTTTTAGATTTCAGACAAGTTTCCCTGCCAGGCTTTGCAATATCCAGGGTAGAAATGAGGGGTAAATTCATAAAAATTCTTCTCTCCACTCTTCCCTCTCTTTATCCATCTACAGTGATACAAATAAATCTACCATGAGTCTTTTTCTAGATCAGTCTTTTTCTAGATCTAGATGAGTCTCTTTTAGATCAGTCTTGGAACTAAGCACCTTTTAGGCTAAACCAAAATATTCTCAGGTGTTAGCACTGGCAGGAGATTCCAGGCTCAGAGTGCAAAATTCCTACCCTAGGATCCTAGGAGCTCAGTCCTAGCTTAATCTCACATTCCCAGCTCTGATTTTTCTAGAATCTTGTTCTATCTCCAAGCTTCTTTGTTCAGTGAGTGTTGAGAGGAATGGAGAAGTCAAGTAAGAGAATGTATTTTCTTCTTTACACTCTTGTCCTTCATGTGAGCTAGTCTCTCCAAGATTGTGTCCTCGTTCTCTGATTGTTTGAGACTTTCATTAGGTTCTCCTACCAGGTTTCTCCTAATATCTCCCTTGCTGGAATGCAAGCTTCCTATAGTCAAGAATCTTATCTTCATCTTTGCCTCCCCAAAGTCTGTAGCACATTGTACATAATATTAAAGAAAGACCTTCAGGATACAACCTTGGCCACAGGTGATGTCACAGCTTGTAGTCCCAGCACTCAGGAGGCTGAAGCAGGAGGATTTCTGGGAGTTTGAGGCCAGCCTATACTACATAGTGAGATTCTGTCTCAAAAAAAAGAAAAGAAAAGAAAATGCAACGCCTCCTAGGGAAATATTGGTACATAAAAATTAAAAATTACATGGTAGGCCTAAAGGGAAATTTATCCCTGTCAGTTTTCTTTATATGACAGGCTAAGATAATGACTTTATTTTTGTTTGTTCCTTCCCACTCCCCAATTTTCTTGTAGGAATAATTTAAAGCAGTTTTAGTTCTTTATACCTTTTGGAGGGGTGGCACCTGTAAGGACATCATTCTAGGTAATTTGAACTGTGATTTATTGTAGCTCATTAGAAAAAGGATGTGAAAGTGAAGAGCAAATGGGAAAGGGGAGAAATCGTAAGTACTTGAGGTTTAAGCAGCCTAGCCAGGAGAGAGATGAGATAGAGGAAACTGTTGGAATTAACCCTTGTACCTAAACATCATGCTCCTGTCCTTCCACAGTCCATGTGGAAGGGGCCGAAGCCAGTGAGGGAGAGGAAGAAGACTTCCTAAGACCGGCAGAAAGGCCCATTTGGTAGGTGTGTGAAATACTTTGGCCTTTCCAGAGGGAGGGCTTATGGCAATATGTATCATGGTGTAAAGTATGCATACTGTTTACCCAACAATTCTTCTAGGAATTTATCCTGAGAGCAACAGAATGTGTAAAGACTTACAAAGAAAGCTATAACTTTCTATAATTAGGAAATACTGAACAGAATCTGAAATAGCCATTGGTAAGAGAATGGCTACATGAATTCTGGTTCCTGCATGCAATGGAATGCTAAGCAGCCATTTTAAAAGGTGATGGAAGCCAGGTGTTGTGGCACACACCTGCAATCCGAGCCCTCTTGAGAGGACGAGGCAGGAGGAGCACAAGTTGCCTCAGCCGGGCAACTTAGACCCTGTCTCAAAATAGATAAAAAAATGCTAGAGGGAGGTATATTTCAGTGGGAAGGCCCTGGGTTCAAGTCCCACTAGAAAAAAAAAGACAATATTAATGTACTGTACATTTATAGTTGCTGACAGATTGAGCAAAGGAAAAACAAAACAGAACAGCATATCTCACTTTAAAAAATTACATGCTTCTTTATATATCTAGATACAGATACCTGGAGGGGCTGGGATATAGCTCAGAAGTAGAACACTTGCCTAGCATGCAGAAGGTCCTGGGTTAGGTCCCCAACACTGCAGAGAAAACAGAGATATCTGAAATGATGTTCACCCAAGTATTCATAGCTATTATTTCTAGATGGTAGTTTTGGCTTTTTGACTTTTAAACTTTTATTTATTTATTCATTCATTCATTCATTCATTCATTCATTATAATACTGGGTATTGAACCCAG